CGCGTGGGCTAGTGCTCCCTCGGCCCCCCCTCCCCCCCTGCCAGTGCAGACTGAGCTGGAGTCTCAGCAATAGGAGAGGGACTTGTCTATTAACTGGGGTAGGGACGGACTCTCCAGTGCTCATTAGTCTGATTCCTCCTCTCTCCAGATTAAAATACAATGGTGCTGACTCGGGATGGTGCTAAACACTTCTCTGAAGAGTAAGTCTTTGTCATTATCTCAAGTTTGGACGCCAAAAATGATCAGTTGGTTTTGGAAGTCTTGGCTGCCAGCATGTAAAAGGGTATTTTCAAAAAGCTCCATTTTTAGTTATTTACCCACTGTACATACAAAACATGCTTAAAACTATATTTACGTTGGAAAATAAAAACTTATTAATTACTTCTCATATCATTTAACTAAACATTTCACTCAGAAACAACTTTTTAGTTGAGCTGATAGCTTAGTATTTCTGCTTTGTTTGCTTTACTCTTTTTTGCCTTTTTTAAATTTGTTTTTTGTTTTGTTTTGTTACCAGAAAGAAGGTTATTCGAAGTTAAAGAAAGCCAAAAGAAGTAAGCCTTCTGTTTAGGATGTTCTGGAGTACTGAAAGAAAACTTTGGGTATGCCCATTACAAATTTTAAATATTTTTCTTTATTAAAATAATATCACATGTCTATAATAGTTTCTGTTCTCTTGGATCATGATAATGATATCAGATGTCTCCAAATAAATCACTTTACTAAACAAATGGCTTATAGAGGAAAATAATGAGGTAACAGAAGCTAAGATTCTTGGTTTTATAGGACACTAGCTTTGGGGTTTTTCTGTGAAACAAGCAACATTAAATATAAAGGCATCTTTTACTTAGTGGAACTTAGAATTTGGCTTAAATTTGTATTTTGATTGGCTTATTTTCTTTCAGACTAAAATAAACCTGTTTTTTGTGCTGCTGAGTTTCATTTGAATTTGAGCTGAAGTTAAAAACATAAACCATTAAAGTGATGTTATGAATATTATTTAATACCATTACATGAAATGGTAAAAAGCTTAATGCTTTTGTGGTCCTAAGATCTAATCCAAGGACAAAATTGTCTGTCGTACAAAATGAATAAATTTAGTTTTGTCACCAGATATTTCAACCCATGTTGTGGGTGGTTGTCAATAATAGTCTTGCAGGATAGAACAAGCTTTTCGTTTGAATATTCCTTTGAATATTAAGGATGCATATGGCATATGAGACCCACCAGATTTATTGACCTAATGCCTATCACAAATTATCAGTAGTAAAACATGCAGCAAGGAGTAGCCTATGCAGTTAACTGTTTCAGAGATAAATAAAAGTATATTTATTCAAAAGAAAATATTGATATAAGCAAGATGTTCACACAGATACAACAGCACAAAAATGTGTATTATACAAAACAAATAGAAAACCATAGCAATAAGCAAAATAGAAACTCTGCATCTTTTAATCTGACTTTTGGCTCCAACATAAGCGGTAACAAGTAGCCAAATGTGCATTTTATCTCAGAGATGCACTTTATGTCCTTCCTGTCTTTGCATGGATAAATTTCCTCCAGTGAACACATATATCAGTTGTCTGCATTCCCTAAAGAAAGTTCATTGTATGGGTGGAAGCTTTCCATACAGGACCTTGATATTCCGATGTTCAGCATATCCAGTTCCTGGGTCTAGCATTTCATCTCTCCTGTTTCAAGCCAGGCAGTTCAGGCATGGTCTTTCTTCAGTGGTGATCTGTTTTAGCGATTCAGTTCACTGAGGACTGATGAACAAAAATGGTGTCTCTGAGAATGGGCAGAACTTTTTTTACTTAAAAAAATCTGACCTTTTTTTCTTATTTATGAGTTAGATGCCACAGGATCAAGTTGATCATGGTAGGCGATGCTTAAACTCTGGAGAGGAAACAGTGCCTTCCATAAAGGGTTTAAAATATGCGTTCTAAGAATCCCATCGGTATGGGTTCTTCATTGGTGTTGATGACCTAAAAAAAAAACTAAGGCTAAAATAACTTCTGCTATTGGATCCGTGCCCACAATTTTGATTCTGAAAAGCTTTGCTCTGAATTTCTTCATTATGTGTTATTACTCATGCATTCAGAGTGCATGTTTTCATTTGAACACTTGAGAATTACTTGTAAGTTTTCAAATTTACTGTGTGGCAAGATTTATGGGTGAGGAGTTCTTAGAATGGAATTCAATGATGTAGTCAACAGGAAGGACTTGGATCTATAATTCATGACAATAAAAACATTTTTTTGCAATTATCTTGCAAAAAGGGTCAGTTTTTATGACTAAAATGTGCCAAGTTGCACAGACTCTTAACTTGTCCAGGAAATCACAGCATAATCCTAATTTTCCTCTTTGTTTTCCTGGTGAAAATAGAGGATATGTTAATAAAATCAAGGACATGAAGCAACAAGGACATGAAGTATTTAACATTTGAAGAAGTTGTACATTTGGTCCTGAACTAAATCATTCTCATTAATTCTGTTTTTAATCATACGTAGACAATCCCCCACTCTCTGGGGAAGGACTCGGGTTTTTCTTTGGCATAAAAGGAGTAGTTAGATATTAAGCATGAGTTTGAGATATGCCCCCTGCCCTGCCCCTATATTTAGGGGTCAGGACTATGCTGCGTACATAGTTCTTTTTCAAGGCCATGCAGATTGGGGCAGTGGAACCTCTGAGGATGCTGAGGTGCCCAGCCCATGGGGTGGGGGCCAGGATATCTGGTGCTGAGTGAGCTCTGCAGAGTCTGTTGGGTATGTCTATTAGATTTCCATTGAATTTAATAGGAGTTTTGACATCTAACACATATGTATACGGCTAAATGTAGCTGTTCTAAAGCTGGAGCTCAAAACCATCTCAGGAGTCAGACTTGAATAGTTATTCAGGTAGACTTCTTATAGTTTTAATAAAGACCTGCATGATTAGAGTTTTCAGAACAGGTTTATAGAACCTTTTTAAGCTATTTTATATTTGCTATCAAATAGAAAAAAGTCTGAAGTTTATTATTCCATGCTTAGTCTTTTATTAATGAAAGTCAATCTATCATTTTTCAAGGTCAAAAACTACTGTGAAAGGGAAGTTTGGCTTCTAAGACTAATCAAAAGAGCAGAGCTTCTAAAGGACAGTATGTACTAGTACAGAAAAATATTTAAAAGAGGGATTTGCATCATTACAAACACTGGTGCTAGAACAGACATATTCAAAATAGCAGCGCTGAAATTCCCAAGCCTTTTGCACTGTTCTGCAGAACTCTTCCTGTTGCTCTGCTCCTGTGTTGGTCTTATGATACTGAACTTTGGTTTTAGTCACCAAATTTCATTTAGCAAATGAGAAGCTACAAATTCATCGCATATAGTAATAATAGTATTATTTTACAAAAAAGTAATTGCTGCCATTACTGTAAGGATATTGTATGAACACAAGATGAAGGCAGGACATCTACACAACTGGAATTAAGTAAAAATTCTCAGCAGTTTCGTATATAAGGGCTGGAGATCTATTGGACTGTTTCTTCTACAAGGTGGATTGCCCAAGCCAACATGTAGGAATTTCATAGAATCCTAGAATCCTAGAATGGTTTGGGTTGGAAGGGACCTCAAAGATCTTCTAGATCCAACCTAGCTTGAACACTTCCAGGGAGGGGGCAGCCGCAGCTTCTCTGGGCAACCTGTTCCAGTGCCTCACCACCCTCATTTCTTTTCTAATTAGAAGGCTATGGTACAGAAATTCCAACAAAGCCATCTTTGAGATGATTTCTTGATGTGAAATATTAGGCTAAAGTAACACCTTTTAAGATATCATATAAATATAATAGCTTGAACTGGCTTTATGAAGAAACAGTTTTTAACTTAAATTTGAAAATATTTGCATGGAAATTTTATGTAGTGAAAATATTTGGGTTTTCATTGAAAAAAGATTCTGAAAATATTTAGTCTTTCAATGAAAAAGCAACTTCTTTTATGATGGGGGAAAATTAATTTCCTAATCAAATCTAGTATCAGAAACAACCTTTGGACTGTGTACATTAGTAGGTTGTTGGTACCTAAATACTTGAGACATACTCCAAAACATAGATGCTATCATAACATTAGTGCTATTATCCTGTGCATTTTTCATTGTTGCGGGATTGTTCCAGGTTAGGGATAATCTAATTTCCTGCATCGTTCAAAATGCTAAAGAAGAGTTTCCTAAGCTTCTGTCTGTTACTTTCTTGTAGACTTAAGAATGTGGTTTGGCTACCTGATCTTAGCTGGTTAAGAAGGTGTGAATAGACTCCTGAAATGGAGTTTCCTTCACCCAGCACCACAACTGACTGTCATGTTTTGAGGGATTTAGATTTAAAAACGCACACCTAAGAGGAAGGATAAAGCTGTGCATAGGACCATCGATTTCTCAAGGAGAGAATTCTTTCTTGTTCTGCATAAAAATGCGAACATTTAACTTAAAAGCCCTAAACTTTATAAACAGAATGCAAATACAAATGTGGAAATGGATCAACTTTTATTTGCAAATTAACCCTACAGTTCTGAGTTGTTTTTTGGTTTCTTTTGTGATCTAAACTTTTTCTATGCTTTCCTCCATTCAGGTTCCCAACAGTGTATTAACATACTTGAGGAACTCTGAGCTGTGTTTATTTCACATCATTGGTACCTGTTTCTGGATGAAAACCTGAGAGTTGAATACATACGGTCAAGTGAATCCACATATCAACAACTTCTCCAGACAGTTTAGGTTAATAAAGCTCAAATGAATTAAAAAATTTAGCTAACAGCTTAGAGTTTTTGAATCACATTGTCTGTCCTGGTACTTGCTTACACACTTAATCACTCTTCCAAGATATTTTGAAGTTTCAAGTCTGTCTTTCTATGATATATTTAATTCTTTGCTACAGTGTCTGGGTCTCTTTGTTTCATCAGCAAAGCATTCCTAAATAACTTCTTGTCAAGTCAAATGGTTAGGAAATAAACAGTACAGTTTTTCTTAGGGGAATAATCTGAAGGCTGGATTGAATTTCAGCTTCTTTAATTCTTGCTATATTTTTAAATGAATTTCCATTTTCAGAAATGAAACTGCTATGTAAAAGATTTCTTTAAGTCTAATTGATAACACCATTCTTCAGTAATTCATGCATAATATGTATAGTTGCCCTTTGAGTAATTTTATCAGAATAAATGTATCTTCAATGATCTACTTGAAGTTGTAGTTACATATATATAAATATATATGATTGTTGCCCCGTAGTTGCTGGTTTTAAGTGAATATTATTGTATGACCTGGAAAATGAGAATCAAATGTCATAACACTAGCTCCTAAACTCAAACGATATACAATGTAGGTTAACAGTTGCTTTGGATATACATTTGCAAAAGCTTTTTCCTAAAGGAATTGGTACAATGGAACTTTATGTACTTTATGAAAACCTTTTTAGTTTATATTGCCATAGTTGTATTTTTATTTACCTCATTTTTCAAAGTAGGCTTTTGCTCTACTACAATGACAACTTCTGTTTTGTTTTGTTTTGTTTTGTTTTTCCTCGAACAGTGACTGTAGACATCGCTC